ATTAAAAAAATAATAATAAATATTTACCTGCAACATTAGTCCTTTTGTGTAAAATCTCATGTTTACTCTGGTATTGTAGGAATGTCAGAGATTAATCTTGATAATGCGTTTTGGGATGAGCTCGGGGACATTAATTTAGATGAGATCTTAACCGAGCACCCCGCCCTCGCCTCACCTGAGGGTTGGGGAGATTCAGATGACATAATCAGAGGACTGCACCCAAGCCTTGCCCAGTTGATGGGTCGGCCAGTTCATATCCAGGCTGACCCTACTAATGTCCCACATTTACTATGGAGGCAAAGCCGTGCCGATACACGCAGACGTTTTCTTGGACCCACTCGTGTCCTTAGTGTCGCCTCGGGACATAACCGCCCACATTATATCATAAGCCCTCTACCCCTAGATTTTGTGGCCAAAAGAGGGAACGTGTACCCTGAGGACTATATTTTCACCACAATCCCTAACCCACTGGAGATCATTAATATTCAAAATGTTGACTTTAATAATGACTTGTCATATATTGAGACACCCGGCTAGATTGTTGATTGAGCATTCTTGGGATACATACAGTCCGTTCCCATTTTCACAGTCTAGACAACATGGATGTGTTTTGGTGTAGTCAAGTTGGGGTGGGAATTTGAGCTTTTTATGCAGCATTATTTCCCATGGTTTTTCGGCCCATTTGACCCACCACTCTAGATTTGGGTAGAAGAAAATCTTTTTGTATGCTGACCATGATGTGTTCTAATCCCTTTTTTGTTGACTTTTTGTTTTTGTTTTTGTTTACAACAGGGATGAGACACTAACATATTCTGACTGATGTAATATGAATTGTAAAAAAATGTTAAGTTGGTATTTTATATAAATATAGATTGCGCTACACATGCTTATATATATGTTGCGTTGTGAATGTAATGCCTCGTTTATTACTTTGTAGAATGGCCAATAATGATAACGGAAGTGAGTTATCAGTCAGTGGCACTGAATCGATGGAAAGAATAATGGAAAGTGTGGTTATTAGCTTTTTGCAAGCCTTGCAGACTAACATCAACAATGGGATGCCGGAACGGCGAGAAAAACCGGTTACCATAAAACAGTTCCAAGATCTGAAACCTACCACATTTACCGGCGGCCCAAACCCAATGATAGCAAACGCTTAGGTTAAAGACATGGAAAAGATTTTTCACGCCTTACCCTGCACCGAAAGACAAAAGGTAACTTTCGTCAGTTTCACTTTCAAAGACAATGCACTGGAATGGTGGCTTCTCACTCTGGCCAAAGAAGAAATTAAGACTTGGGCAAGATTCTTGGAAGTATTCTACGCAAAATACTTCCCACATTCATTGTGGGAACAGAAGGCATCCGAATTCATACATCTAAAGCAACGAACCATGACGGTGGCCAAACACGAGAGCAAGTTCACTTAACTCGCTAGGTTTGCAACATATGTCATCCCCACTGAAACTCAAAAAGTAAGAAAATTTGAAGTAGGATTGGATGCTGAAATTAAAGAAAGGCTCGAGGTCTTGAAACTGCCAACCTATGCGGAAGTGGTAGACTGGGCGTACATTGTAGAAAAGGGGATTAAAGCCTCACGTTCCGGGGAACCAAGCCACAAGAAGTAATTCTGGGAAAGAGACAACAGAAGACCCGGTGTTACGCCTCCCAAAAAGATGAGTATGGGCATAACTAGTTTAGGCAATCAAGGTCCTACCAACCCCCGAGGTGGCACTGTTCCAATTTGTCCCACTTGTGGGAAGGCTCATTGGGGACAATGCCATCGAGATACGGGAGCATGTTTTAAATGCGGTCAAGTTGGCCACTTGCTAATGGATTGTCCAAAGCTGACTAATCCTACAGCCAGCCCCTCTGGCCTAGTTAGGAAACCCGTAAGACCTGGAGGAGAAAGGAAGGACAAAAAACGCCAAGGACGGGCTTTCGCCTTGGTACCTGGAAAACCAGAAGTTACTGAAAATGTGGTGACATGTACACTTTCTGTCTGTGGTCATTTAGCTCATGTCCTCATTGACTCTAGGTCAACTCATTCTTTTGTTGCACCACACTTTGCTGCCAAGTTGGCATCAACACCCGAATCATTAGGATATATATTGTCTGTGTCTTTTCCTTCCAGTAAGGCTACCTGTAGTACTGATGTGTATAGATCTTGTGCTATATTTCTAAAAGGAAAAACCTTATACGTGGACTTGATTTCCTTCCGCATTGGGAACTTTGATGTGATCTTAGGTATGGATTGTCTGGCTGCCAACCACGCCTCTATCGATTGTAAAGCCAAAAAGGTCTTCCTCAGGTTACCAAACCAACCCGAACTTATCTTTGATGGGACTGGAGTTTCTAACCCTCCCTGTATTATATCCTCCATGACAGCCCAACGACTTCTAAGAAAGGGTTGTAGTAGTTATATTTGTTATATGATCGATACACAAAAAGAGGCCCCCACCGTTGATGCAATCCCCGTGGTTCGAGAATTTTCGGATGTTTTTCTTGAAGATCTACCCGGTATTCCGGTTAATCGAGAAATCGAATTCACCATTGAAACCCAACCTGGCACACAACCAATATCAAAAGCTCTTTATCGCATGTCGATGACAAAGTTGAAAGAGATGAAGACTCAACTCCAGGAACTCCTGGACAAAGGTGTCATTCGACCTAGTACCTCACCCTGGGGAGCTCCAGTATTGTTCGTGAAGAAAAAAGATGGCACGAAAAGATTATGCATCGATTACCGAGAGCTGAACAAGGTCACTATCAAGAATTGGTATCCTCTGCCGTGAATCGATGACTTGTTCGATCAACTTCAAGGCGCCCAAGTATTTTCCAAAATTGACTTTCGTTCTGGCTATCATCAGCTAAAAGTCAAAACGGAAAGCATCGAAAAAACTACCTTCAGAACTCGTTACAGGCACTACGAGTTTCTTGTCATGCCTTTTGGCGTCACAAATGCCCCAGCAACCTTCATGGATCTCATGAACCGAGTGTTCTAACCTTATCTTGACGAGTTCATCATCGTCTTCATTTACGACATCCTCATATACTCCAAGTCACCAGAGGCCTATGAGCAACACTTGCGAACAGTTCTACAAACACTACATGATCACAAATTTTATGCCAAGTTGAAGAAATGCGAATTCTGGATCACTAGTTTACACTTTCTCGGTCACGTCATTAACAAAGATGGTATCTCGGTTGACCCAGAAAAAGTTGCAGCAATCGTGGACTGGCCATGACCTACTAATGTGTCAGAAATCTGAAGTTTCTTGGGTCTAACTGACTATTATCGACGCTTCGTGCAAGATTTCTCAAAGATAGCATCACCTTTGACCCAGCTAACTAAGAAGAACACATCCTTTGAATAGACTGACAAACAGGAGCGTTGTTTTCAAGAATTAAAAAAGTCGACTTGTGTCAGCCCCTATACTAGCACTCCTCATAGGAGCAGATGGGCTCGTAATCTATAGTGATGCCTCATACAATGGTTTGGGTTGCGTTCTCATGCAAAACGGAAAAATCATTGCTTATGCGTCGCGACAATTAAAGACTCACGAGAAGAACTACCTGACTCATGATTTGGAATTGGCTGCGGTGATCTTCGCCCTCAAATTCTGGCGTCATTATCTCTACGGTGCAACCTGCGAGATTTACACTAATCACAAGAGTCTAAAATATCTGTTCACACAGAAGGAACTAAATATGAGGCAATGGCGATGGCTAGAATTTATGAAAGACTATGATGTGGAGATCCATCACCATCCAAGTAAAGCTAACGTGGTGGCAGACGCACTGAGCCGAAAGACGACCAGAGGTTTATCATGTACTCTTGTTTCCCACAAGATTAATGGACTACTCGCCAATATAACCGTGGAACCTATATTGATTGAAGAAATTAAAGCGCGCCAATGGGAAAATAAACTTTTGAAGAAAAAGTACGAGGAACAAAGGAATATGCCTGACCCTGATTTCACTATAAGCAATGGGATACTGAAATTTCGAAATCAAATTTGCATACCCAACATCCCGAAACTCAAAAAGAAGATACTGGAAAAAGCTCATAACTTGAGATTTGCAGTCCACCTTGGCAACACAAAGATGTACCATGATCTGAAGGAACACTACTGGTGGACAGGAATGAAAAGAGACATAGCAAGCCATGTCTTCAAATGTCTGCATTGTCAGTGTGTTAAAGCAGAACATCAGAGACCTGTAAGACTGCTACAACCACTCCCTATTCCTGAATGGAAATTGGAGAACATTACTATGAACTTCGTGGTTGGGCTACCACAGTCATTTTTGAAGAATGATGCAATATGGGTTATAGTAGACCGATTGACGAAGTCAGCGCATTTTCTACCAATCAAAATCATGTACTCCCTTAATAAGTTTGCCACTTTATATATCAAGGAAATTATTCATTTGCATGGTATCCCAGTTTTGATCGTGTCTGACCGAGACTCCTGCTTCGTGCCTCACTTCTAGAACAAATTGCAAGAAGCTTTGGGAACCACACTGAAGTTTAGCACTGCTTATCATCCACAAACTGATGAGCAATCCGAAAGAACAATTCAGACGTTAGAAGACATGTTACGTGTATGCGTGTTGGACCTCAAAGGTACCTGGAATGAGCACCTACCTTTAGGGGAATTCGCCTATAACAACAGCTACCAAGCAAGCATTGGAATGGCACCGTACGAAGCTCTGTATAGAAGGAGATGTCGATCACCTTTGTGTTGGACAGAAGTCGGGGACAGGAAATTGTTAGGCCCTGAGATCATGCAAGTCACAAGTGAGAAAATCCAACTCATCCAACAGCAAATTGCATTGCTCAGAGCCGTCAGAAAAGTTATGCAGATACTCGAAGACAGGACTTGGAATTTCAAGCAGGGGATCATGTGTTCCTCAAGATCTCACCAACAAGAGGAGTGATCCGATTTGGAAAGCGAGGAAAGTTAAACCTGCGTTACATTGGGCCATTCGAGATACTGGAAATGATTGGTCCTGTAGCTTATCGCCTTACACTACCTCCTGAACTATCCAATGTCCACAATGTGTTTCACGTTTCAATGCTCCGACGGTACCTCCGAGATCCAGAACATGTCGTCGACTATGAGAACCTGGAAGTTCAAGAAGATCTCTCTTATGAAGAGCAACCAGTGCAGATTCTCGATCGTCGTGATCAAATTATCCGAAACAAGACCATACCGCTGGTAAATATCTTATGGCGAAATCATCGTATCGAAGAAGCTACGTGGGAAACGGAAAGTCAAATGCGAGCCAAATATCCACCTCTTCAAAAATTAAGGTACGTCAAGTTTGGGAACAAACTTCTATTTAGGAGGGGAGAAATGTGACACCCTGAACATTTAATTAAATACCACATAAATGATTATAGTTAAATATAATTATGGTTGTATGTGATGATATATTATTAAATAAATAAATAATAATAAATATATAAATCTAATTCGGCATTAAGTTATCAAATATGAGATTAATTAGGAATTATTATTTGGGGCCGAATTAACACAAATATGAAATTATAATAGTAGTTGGGCCAAATTAGAATTAAAGATAGTAAATAAATAAATACAAAAGTAAGAGTAAATAATAATAATAATAATAATAATAATAATAATAATAATAATAATAATAATAATAATAATAATAATAATAATAATAATAATAATAATAATAATAATAATAATAATAATAATAATAATAATAATAATAATAATAATAATAATAATAATAATAATAATAATAATAATAATAATAATAATAATAATAATAATAATAATAATAATAATAATAATAATAATAATAATAATAATAATAATAATAATAATAATAATAATAATAATAATAATAATAATAATAATAATAATAATAATAATAATAATAATAATAATAATAATAATAATAATAATAATAATAATAATAATAATAATAATAATAATAATAATAATAATAATAATAATAATAATAATAATAATAATAATAATAATAATAATAATAATAATAATAATAATAATAATAATAATAATAATAATAATAATAATAATAATAATAATAATAATAATAATAATAATAATAATAATAATAATAATAATAATAATAATAATAATAATAATAATAATAATAATAATAATAATAATAATAATAATAATAATAATAATAATAATAATAATAATAATAATAATAATAATAATAATAATAATAATAATAATAATAATAATAATAATAATAATAATAATAATAATAATAATAATAATAATAATAATAATAATAATAATAATAATAATAATAATAATAATAATAATAATAATAATAATAATAATAATAATAATAATAATAATAATAATAATAATAATAATAATAATAATAATAATAATAATAATAATAATAATAATAATAATAATAATAATAATAATAATAATAATAATAATAATAATAATAATAATAATAATAATAATAATAATAATAATAATAATAATAATAATAATAATAATAATAATAATAATAATAATAATAATAATAATAATAATAATAATAATAATAATAATAATAATAATAATAATAATAATAATAATAATAATAATAATAATAATAATAATAATAATAATAATAATAATAATAATAATAATAATAATAATAATAATAATAATAATAATAATAATAATAATAATAATAATAATAATAATAATAATAATAATAATAATAATAATAATAATAATAATAATAATAATAATAATAATAATAATAATAATAATAATAATAATAATAATAATAATAATAATAATAATAATAATAATAATAATAATAATAATAATAATAATAATAATAATAATAATAATAATAATAATAATAATAATAATAATAATAATAATAATAATAATAATAATAATAATAATAATAATAATAATAATAATAATAATAATAATAATAATAATAATAATAATAATAATAATAATAATAATAATAATAATAATAATAATAATAATAATAATAATAATAATAATAATAATAATAATAATAATAATAATAATAATAATAATAATAATAATAATAATAATAATAATAATAATAATAATAATAATAATAATAATAATAATAATAATAATAATAATAATAATAATAATAATAATAATAATAATAATAATAATAATAATAATAATAATAATAATAATAATAATAATAATAATAATAATAATAATAATAATAATAATAATAATAATAATAATAATAATAATAATAATAATAATAATAATAATAATAATAATAATAATAATAATAATAATAATAATAATAATAATAATAATAATAATAATAATAATAATAATAATAATAATAATAATAATAATAATAATAATAATAATAATAATAATAATAATAATAATAATAATAATAATAATAATAATAATAATAATAATAATAATAATAATAATAATAATAATAATAATAATAATAATAATAATAATAATAATAATAATAATAATAATAATAATAATAATAATAATAATAATAATAATAATAATAATAATAATAATAATAATAATAATAATAATAATAATAATAATAATAATAATAATAATAATAATAATAATAATAATAATAATAATAATAATAATAATAATAATAATAATAATAATAATAATAATAATAATAATAATAATAATAATAATAATAATAATAATAATAATAATAATAATAATAATAATAATAATAATAATAATAATAATAATAATAATAATAATAATAATAATAATAATAATAATAATAATAATAATAATAATAATAATAATAATAATAATAATAATAATAATAATAATAATAATAATAATAATAATAATAATAATAATAATAATAATAATAATAATAATAATAATAATAATAATAATAATAATAATAATAATAATAATAATAATAATAATAATAATAATAATAATAATAATAATAATAATAATAATAATAATAATAATAATAATAATAATAATAATAATAATAATAATAATAATAATAATAATAATAATAATAATAATAATAATAATAATAATAATAATAATAATAATAATAATAATAATAATAATAATAATAATAATAATAATAATAATAATAATAATAATAATAATAATAATAATAATAATAATAATAATAATAATAATAATAATAATAATAATAATAATAATAATAATAATAATAATAATAATAATAATAATAATAATAATAATAATAATAATAATAATAATAATAATAATAATAATAATAATAATAATAATAATAATAATAATAATAATAATAATAATAATAATAATAATAATAATAATAATAATAATAATAATAATAATAATAATAATAATAATAATAATAATAATAATAATAATAATAATAATAATAATAATAATAATAATAATAATAATAATAATAATAATAATAATAATAATAATAATAATAATAATAATAATAATAATAATAATAATAATAATAATAATAATAATAATAATAATAATAATAATAATAATAATAATAATAATAATAATAATAATAATAATAATAATAATAATAATAATAATAATAATAATAATAATAATAATAATAATAATAATAATAATAATAATAATAATAATAATAATAATAATAATAATAATAATAATAATAATAATAATAATAATAATAATAATAATAATAATAATAATAATAATAATAATAATAATAATAATAATAATAATAATAATAATAATAATAATAATAATAATAATAATAATAATAATAATAATAATAATAATAATAATAATAATAATAATAATAATAATAATAATAATAATAATAATAATAATAATAATAATAATAATAATAATAATAATAATAATAATAATAATAATAATAATAATAATAATAATAATAATAATAATAATAATAATAATAATAATAATAATAATAATAATAATAATAATAATAATAATAATAATAATAATAATAATAATAATAATAATAATAATAATAATAATAATAATAATAATAATAATAATAATAATAATAATAATAATAATAATAATAATAATAATAATAATAATAATAATAATAATAATAATAATAATAATAATAATAATAATAATAATAATAATAATAATAATAATAATAATAATAATAATAATAATAATAATAATAATAATAATAATAATAATAATAATAATAATAATAATAATAATAATAATAATAATAATAATAATAATAATAATAATAATAATAATAATAATAATAATAATAATAATAATAATAATAATAATAATAATAATAATAATAATAATAATAATAATAATAATAATAATAATAATAATAATAATAATAATAATAATAATAATAATAATAATAATAATAATAATAATAATAATAATAATAATAATAATAATAATAATAATAATAATAATAATAATAATAATAATAATAATAATAATAATAATAATAATAATAATAATAATAATAATAATAATAATAATAATAATAATAATAATAATAATAATAATAATAATAATAATAATAATAATAATAATAATAATAATAATAATAATAATAATAATAATAATAATAATAATAATAATAATAATAATAATAATAATAATAATAATAATAATAATAATAATAATAATAATAATAATAATAATAATAATAATAATAATAATAATAATAATAATAATAATAATAATAATAATAATAATAATAATAATAATAATAATAATAATAATAATAATAATAATAATAATAATAATAATAATAATAATAATAATAATAATAATAATAATAATAATAATAATAATAATAATAATAATAATAATAATAATAATAATAATAATAATAATAATAATAATAATAATAATAATAATAATAATAATAATAATAATAATAATAATAATAATAATAATAATAATAATAATAATAATAATAATAATAATAATAATAATAATAATAATAATAATAATAATAATAATAATAATAATAATAATAATAATAATAATAATAATAATAATAATAATAATAATAATAATAATAATAATAATAATAATAATAATAATAATAATAATAATAATAATAATAATAATAATAATAATAATAATAATAATAATAATAATAATAATAATAATAATAATAATAATAATAATAATAATAATAATAATAATAATAATAATAATAATAATAATAATAATAATAATAA